GCAGAGCAGCACAGGCTCTATGGTAACCAGACTGCTGATAAACATACATACTTATATATTTCTAAATACATACATATTATAGATAAAGTAAAAAAAATAAAATAAAAAAAATGGTCTATTTTTATTTTTTTTACTTTAACTATTAAATGTATATATTATAAAAAAAACATAAAAAAACATAAACATAGTTATAAAATAGATCTGCAAGACAAGAGCGTACTCCTTCCTAAAAGGCCTAAAAGGAGTCTGAGTTGCAGACGTTCATAGGAGGAAATCGAGCGGGGTCATCAGATATTATTCATTAGTGATTACTGCCACACATAGAGTTTTTTGGCAGTAATCACTTACTATCTATCGCGTGGTCTATCGAGACCTGCAATTGAGTCATAAGTGTCTTCATCAGAGCTCCCTCCAGCTGACTAGCTTACACTACGTGACATCATGGGCAGTATACTATGTGGACCATGTGACTATGTGATTTATTATATTTTCAACTTCTCCAATTTTCTTCTAATTAATTTCGTTGCGGGTTCCAAGACAGTTTAATTTTTTTCCTATGACTTCCTGAGTGTCATAACTTGGTGTGTTCGATGGTCACAGCTGTTGATCCTGGTGTATAGGAGTTACAGTGGTGGGCGTGTGGAAGGGATTATTCCCAACAAAAAAAGACCGCTCCAAAATTAGAAGGCTGGGGCGTCAACCTCACACACACAAGTTGAAAAGCAAGGAAATAATTTCTTTATACAAGTTTTCTGTGATGCCGTGGTATCACTCTGGTAAAGCCTGGACCATTTATGACGAAGCAAGGCTCTCCCAAGGCTGCAAACTTGTTGTGTTACTTCTTAATTTATAAGACTGTTTCAATTGGCAAAGGTTATCCAATCACTTTTGTATTTATTCTTGTAGAATTTTATATTTGTCTTAAAACGACTATCAATCATTCACATTTTAAAAGTAGATACCTAGTTTTTTCACAGTCACAGTTTTAGTCTACAATTTAATGGACATTAAGCTTCATTTTATAGAAGTCTCGTTAGATAAATAAACATCGTGAAGGCAGGTGTATCCGAAATAAAACTCTCGCTAAAATCTCTTTTAGCAACGTTTCTTTTACCAAATTTTGACTCGGCCCGTGGACAGCTGTAAGCAGGTTACTTATTAATAATGCATGACGTGACATGTCTACAACAAATAAATGGTGGTTTACAAATACTTTTATATCTTTTCTTCGTAGTACTAAAACGCATGTGCGGGTTTCGTATATAAACTTTTTTGTTTTTTCTGTACAATATTTTAAGCAAGATATCTCATTTTATATAGCCTCTGAGGCAACATTACAGAGTTAGAATATATACCGTCGAAACAGTCAGTATTTTTGTTTATTGTGTTATCGAATGGACCTTTGTTTTCCTACTCACCTGATGAAACATGATGATGAAAATGAAGATGGTATACGCCTACTTGACAAATGTGACTTTGGCGACTCGAACCGAAAACGAGCTAACATAGCTTTTAGTTCGTCTTTTTAGTATTTCTACAATGGAAGGAATATAATCATAGAATATGGTAATAATTCGATGGTATTTACTACATCTGAATATATTTTCTTATATTACAGATACGCACGTTCCACTGACACCCCCCTGTGGGTCCCTATGTAAGAGAATAATAACTGAGAGGTCAATGAATAAAGGCCCATTTACATGATGCAAGTTTCTTTTCTGTTACAAACAATAATTCTTAAGCAATAAATAACTTGCATCGTCTGAACAACCTGTCATATTCTTGCTCATCGCAAGTTTTCATTCAAAACTGTTCTTGGTATAAACGACACGTACAATAATTTCTTATGTAAATTTTGTATTCAATTGTTCTCTCTTCATTTGCAAACATGAGTGCAGTGAGTCAGGGTGTGTTTATCGTTGCTGCTCTACTAAGGCAAGAAAACACTGTAAAAAAAGGTGTTGCATCAAAAACTGGATAGCAAGAAGGCAGGTTCTCGGAGCATCCAATAACCTTTGTGTAGAGTTACAAACAGAAAACGAAGATGACTCAAGAACATGTTTCAACACAAATTCAACAATGCGTAATGCTATTTCTGCTCGAACGAAACTAGAAATAGCATTAAAATATTTGGCAACTGGAGATTCATTAGGTACACTCACATTTATTCAGAGTGCCTAAGTGTAGTATAAGTACTTCCTTGGTTGAAGTACTTGAAGCTATTTACACAGCATCAGAAGATTTTATAGAGGAACGTACAAAAACACAGTCTTTAGAATAGAATCATATATTTTCAGCTTAGCAAAATTACGAGTTAAACCAAGTGTGAGGATTCTGGCATAGGAGTAGAGTGGCATAGGAGTGGAGTATTATTATATATTATTTAAGGGGAATATTTAATAATTGTACTGTAAAAAAGGTTATTGAAAAGAACACCATACATTGGCCAAGTAATTCAGTACTTGTTGGAGATGAAACGTTTCCCTTAAAACTTTATTTGATAAAATCATATCCTCACTGTTACTATTTAAGAAGAGAACAAAAAATTTATAACCACAGATTATTTCGATGTAGGAGAAACGTTGAAAATTATTTCGGAGTTTTGACAGCGGTTTTATGGACGAAGAATGTCCAAGGAGTGGAGTTCGTTATAGTACTTTTAGAGAAAATGCTTCAGGTGGAGCATTCGAAAATATATTATAATTTCACAGAACAATAGGAATTAACAAGAGAAGCTATAAGAATCCGTTAAAATTATTGTCATTATTTTAATAGTGACGGTGCAAGGCAAAGCGATTTTTTCATTATACAAAAATTGCAAGGATACTTCTCCATTGTATATTAATGTACCTGATTGTACATCAGAAAATTAACATGAATACATATTTACTATATTTGATGTTGTTTCCCTGTGTTCAAAAGTTTTCCCTAAAAAAGAATCCATTAGATTATACCAAGGAAGTTTGGGCTTGTAAATAAATAAATAATATTTTACCACATTCACACAACGCCATCTAGTCCCAAACTAAGCAGAGCTTGTACTATGGGTACTAGACAACTGATTATAAATACATATATACTTTTTTTTGTAAATATATATTTGTAATTATACAAAGAAACACCCAGACCAAATCAAACATTAAATGTTCATGCACACAAATGTTTGACTTGATCGGGAATCCAACCCACGACCTTTGAAATAGCAGTCCGTTACACAAACCACTACGCCATTCGGTCGTCAGTAAAAATCAAAAGATCCACACAGTTTCTGATAACACAGTAAATAACACTCTCGCCCACACACACACACACATTTTCCGACCTATTTTGAAATTGAGAAACTTTAATTTATAATTAACTAAAATAACACAATATTGTATTGTACCTTTTTTGTGTATATTTATGCGAGAGCCCTGGTACCCATGCCACAAGTTTAATCTTACCTTGGGTACCAGAATTCAATGAAATGATGTGTTGTTTACATGTTCACCTGGATTGTAAAATTATGGCAAATAAATTGTTATTATTACTTTAAACTTTCATCTTTCATAATTAATTTTACATTTGTGTATAGGTAAGGGTATTATCGCATAACATAATATATACAGAAGGTATTCATGTACAAAATGTTGGTTTTTTAATAAGTCTCTATCTAACCCTTCGGGGATGAAGAAGTGAGTGAGTGTTTGTATCTGAGTATTAACAAATGTATGTTCATATGTACATAAGGAACAATAACGGTCTTCGTATTTGGTAAGGCATTAAAAATCGTTCAGGCTTTAATTGTTCTGCTCCCGTTTGCACCGGGCGCTCGCTTAGCGAAATTAATTTCTCCAGAGATCAGTTACTTGCGGGTTCTCAAGTCCGTGGAAATTTAATACGCTTTATTATTTATACACTTGTAAGGCTAAATACGTAATTCCATATTTGATTTTCATAATATAAATGAGGCTACTAGTTTTTTCAATACTTGATATTTCATGATAAATATTTTTAAATGTGCCTATAACTCTTTTATTTTAATTCTTCATACTATTAATATTCAAGTTAATGTATTTTAAACTAAATGAAGATAAATTAGTTTACTGATAGTTACACAAATAATTACGTGATATAGAACAATAATAATAAAAATATTTATTTATCCAAATGATCTTTAACAAATTATACTTAATACTATTTAACATTCGGTCAAGATTACACAGGTAATGATAAACCCTAACTGCCAAACTAGGTATTCCTGTGACTTGGGAGTTAGTGATCTGCCATCACTATATTCACAATGATCCTTTCTTGTATAGTATTATTACCATAGGTTGCATGTCATACAGAGAACTTAATAAAGGTTTTAAAGTCAAAAGTAAATTACACTATTATCAAACTATAATAAACTACGAGTAATAGATCTACAGACACAATTGAAACAATCTCTGTTTTGTTAAATAGGGAGCAAAAAAAACTTATACAAAATCTATGATATGCCTGTGCCGATCTACAACTCTTTTGCAATTTACAGAAAGATACAATGGCATCATTAAATATACCACAACATTGTTTTGATGTATGCCAGTATGCCTGTTATCAAGGACTAAAAGGTGAAAAGACAATTAAGAGAAAATAATATTAAGAAAAAAGAGAAAGTGAAGTGAAACATAAAAAAATTAAAATAATAATAATAAAAATACACTAGTCCACATCCCATTTCTACTTAAGAAATAGCCTTCGCTAAAGTAATCCCAAGCATTTTTGTCTTCTATGTAATCCACAATTGAGTAATAGGCTTACTGACTGTTGTTACTTATTATAATCTGTGGTTGTTATTGACAATTTGGGAATTTTCATTTTAGGTTAGTTTACTTTGAAAAAAGACAGCCAGTCTCAATTATCGCTATTCATAATGCAAAGAAATTTACCCTAAAATAAAGAAGCCCTACTAAAATCTTACACAACACGATTAAAAGAAGATGTAAAGAGAAAATGAATCACAGCTGAACAGAATGACACAAATTGAACAGGACACATTTGAAATGCAAGTGAGAGCTGCTTACATAGTTCGTGCTGGAGAATCCCTAATAAAATTGGTATCAGATATAAAACAGTATTTAATACTTAATGATTTCTCTTCCGTTAATGAAGCAATTACTCAGAATTCTAAGCTTTTCCGCACAAAACAACAGGAGTGTGACCAGAAAATAATGTCACTACGAGATGATATTGCAGCTGATTTATATGATTTAGAAGATGAATATTTTACAAGTATTTTTAAGTAGTAAGAAAATTATTAGTAATAGTAAAACTTTAAGTAACTTAAAACTCTTAATATACAAATCGAAAAAAAAAGATATATTGTATATAATTTGTATTCAAATAAATAATAAAACAATTGACATAATTTATGTTTTATTACGATTTAAATTTGTTAATACTTAAGTCTTGAATATTATTTGGGATTTTTAAGATCTTAAAGACTATTATATACTATCTAGATAAACATGTATTCTATATTCTGACAATGAAACCTCCCCATCAGTTAATCTGTTTAAATGCACTAGCACCTAGGTCAAATCTGACTGTTTCTCGAAGTACGCGATATTTAGTCAACGTTCTCAAATAGCGATTATTCGTGTCAATATTTTTGACACTTGAAGAAATTGAACCTTGTTTTGTGTTTTTAGAGGGGTAAAAGAAAATTATGATTTTATTACAGATATTTTACTTTTAACTTACGTTATCGTTTTCGTTTACGCAATACCTATTTTTTTTTTTATACTGTATGAAGTCAAATATGCTTCATCTGGATAGCTCCGGAGGGCAGTGTGGTTTTTCCAGATGAGATCAAAATTTTTATTTTGGATAAAAAGGAGAAAAAAAAGATTTAGTGTTTTTACACCTTATCTTTTTTTTTTCCTTTTGGGCTTTCTCGGATATGTGTAATATAAAACAAAACTTAAATATATTACAAAAAAAAACTTAAATACATAACAAAAAAATACATCTATTGACTCTGTATCTTAAAAAAACACATATTTCTAAAAAGCAATGATGCTTGATGTAGAGAAACAATTTAACTTAAAGAAAGTAAACAAAACATGACCCAGATTCCTTTCACGACAGTCAAACCATGATTAAATTTCACTGAGAAAATTAAACGAAGAAAAAAAATGGAATACCTTCATCTAACATTTTTTTGTAAATCTTTAGTTGTTTTTATTTCAATTTATATTAGGCTAAAAGTAAAACTAAATAGTCAAAATTTTCATAGCATATTCTTAAACAAGCATACAACTGCTAAACTGTATGTCGATTTTCATAGATTCTGATCTGAAAATGTATTTTTACCCATCAAAACTGTTTTGACCTTTTAAATCGTACAATTCAACCCATATGCACCTTGTCTCCGTCTCTATGTGGCGACCGATAAATGTATACCAATATTTAATGGTTTTAGACTGTTAACGAGCTTCGAAGTATTATGGACAGGGATTGGAATGTGGAATGTTGATTTCGTTGTTCTGCTTTACTGGAACATTTTCAACATTAGAATATTGTGGTTCAACTACGCATTAGCTTCAGCCAAACTATGCAGTGTGCATTTGTACTCTTCAGGACACATATAAATGCATATTTCTACATGAATTTAGTGTGCATGAGGGTATACATGTGTATGTTGTCCTTCAGATTTATTACAAAAGTTTACTTCCGATAATAAATTTAATATATTTCATATATTTAATATATTTTTAGAGATTTCCTCTCTAGGGTACACCTGGTTCCCCGGCTACTAGTGCCCCAGACGGCGTACGATTTTTAGTCGGTTCGAGTACGACATAGCCACCGGGTGGTATCCGAGGGGATTGCCGCATAGAAAAAAAGGGGCTCTCCCCTCAAAAAGTGGTAACGCAGTTGTTACTTTTTAAGTTGCAGGTCTCCATGGGCGGCGGTAGACACCATTAGGTGACCCAACTGCTCGTTTGTCCTCTTATACTAAAAAAATATATATCACATCACATCAACAGCCTTTAATAGTCCACTGTTGGACATAGGCCTCCCCTTAGAAAGGAGGTTTTACTCTACTATACCACGCTGGCCAGACGGGTTGGTATAGGGTTTGTGTCAAGTTTTCCTTCTCTTTGCAGTGCTGTTGTCCTGTGTAGTTTGCTCCCTTAGTCGCCTCTTACGACACCCACGGGATGAATTAGGGTGGTGACACTCCGAATTCTCATTCCGTCACCACACGGATAATATACATATATATATTGTACTCTAATTCTGGTATAAAAACTGTTTTATGTTTTAATTTCCTATATTAATATTACAATTTATTAATTATTATATTTTATTAATAATTCTTATTTTAAAATTATTTTTTCTGATATTTTCCATTTACTCGTAGATATATTGTAACAGAAATACGAGCTTGCTTTTCGATCATTATGATTAAACTCTTAGAAGTTTAACGGGTGTGACACTGTAAGTTAGTAAATACTTTCTTTGCAGCAAGTCGATCGTGACACCGACTAACTTGCTGAAAATAAACTGTTTTAAGTGTTGAAATTTATCTGTTACATATTCCATTTTTCTGGTTTTTTTTTTGTAAAATCATTTTTCTGTGTAGGATATGAAATTAAATGAAATCAACTGCAATCAAAGTAGAATAATTAAGTCTGTGGGACTTACCATCTACTGATACTCGTAGGACAGTCAGACAGATAGAAAGAAAGAATCACTTAGATTCTTGTATAAAGTCAGAGCAATAAAAAACGCCATTTCCATTGCCTCCTGGTAAAAAACTTTGCTCTGTTTGTGCTTGCGCTAACTCAATAGAAGTTACGATCATATGGTCTACCTGCATGCATCTTAGTAACTATAACGTGTCTGTATAACTATAGTTCCGCGCTGTTGATCGATTTAGTACTGCACGATAATAATATCACATTATTTCTGTCTATAAATTTTCTAATTTCAGAAAACGAATCTTTCTCATGGAAAGCATTGCCTGTGTGGTGAATTTAGTTTTTCCTTATGTAGCTTTATTCGTGGTAGAGCGAATGAGTCAGGTTACCGGAGCCAAAACTCTTTCTCCTTCACTGATTCTGCGGGGAACGACTCCGGTTGCCTTACTCACTCGGTTAATAGCAACAAAAGAACTGTTTAACGCTGGTTTTCTGTGAGGCCGTGGTACCACTCCGGTCGAGCTGGCCCATTATGTGCTTAAGAATGTCTCTCTCTCTCTCTCTTTCTTTATATATATGCAAATGTTAACATGAAATAAGTCTGTCTGGCAAAATCAACTAATATATGATTGTCTTTTACTATTATTAATGGTATTTATTTACATATTTATGTAAGTTTTTAATGTGTGTACGTATGTATAATGAGTATGGGTTCTAGTGTATGATTGGTTTATGTATGAGTATTTAATATTATTACTACAAACTATAACCAAAATGCACCTACTTTTTGTTTTCTCTGCATCACTCAAAGGTTGACTGGTAAAGAATGCCTTAGGCATTAAGTCCGCCAATGCACCAGAAGTGCATGATGTGTAAATAAATAAATAAAAATGAACACTAAGAAGCTTTGGTGTTGCAAATTAATTATAAATAGACGGTATAATGAATACATTTAATGTATCTGTCACATTATATTGGTTGAGGGTGATCGGCATAAACTGACTACGTTATTACTTACTCGTGTCGATCGTCCATCGAACTCGTCGATTACATTTAATCGACCGTTGCTGCAATGAACTCAGCATGAATTTCCCTCGTTTAGGGTCCTTACAGACTGGCGACACTAGAGTAAGTTCCGTCTACCAGAGAGTAACTCGAAACTTTTATTGAAATGTAAGTACGACTGATGTGTAGGAGCACTTCTATCTCTAGTAACTTATCTGACCTCCGGACGATAGACAGATAATTTTAGTAGGAAATATTATCAGTAGCTGCACAAATTGACTGTATTTAAGAAACTAACTTTATATGTTGAATAGTTCATTATTAAGGTTTCGCAGTCCTAATAAAGAACAAGTATGAGAGAGCGTGCAGACTGTTTTCGTATTCAGTGATCTGAGTACGAAATACTAAACTTGAAAATGCTATTTTTTTCCGTTAAACCCTGCAACCTTAACTGCAAGCTTTAAAATTTATAAGAAGTTATGACAGTCAACTTATATAGGAGTAAGAAAAAAATAAACACGACAATGTTTGCTCCGTTAATTTAAGTATAACACTCTCCCAAGTTATAAAATGTAGAGACTTGGCAAATTGTGTACTATGCGCATGGCTTCGTTAAATCGATTGTTAAATTTCCTCACGACTGTAGAAAATACGGAAAAGGATTGCATTTTTAAGTTTCGATGGTAGTTTAAATGTATTTTCGTAAAGTAAAAAGGTAGACTTTTCTTATTTTGAGTTTGCTGAAAGTCACCCAAAAACATTCTACAAAAGTTTTAACTAAATATAATAGTTAGAAAAAAGAAGTTTAAATAAAAAATAAAGTACATTTAGTACATATCCTTCTAAACACACACATAGCAAACCCCCAAAATCCCAAACCCTCTCCCGATTTCCGACTCTGGATTCTCCCAGGTATTGAAAATGCAACAACGCACTTATAACTTTTGAGTTGCAGGTGTCCAAGGGCGGCGATAATCACTTAACATCTCAGGTGACCCGTCTGTTGCACCAGGGGCTTCCTTGCACCAGGGACTTCCCTTCTAGGGTATACCTGGTTCCCCGACTATTAGTACCCGAGACGGCGTGCGGTTTTAGTCGGTTCGTGTCCGACATGCCACCTATAGGTGGTATCCGAGGGGATTTCCACACGGAAAAAAAAAGAAAAAAAAGGTGCCCCGTCTGTTTGTCTAATGCCTTATACTATAAAAAAGCAATTTCATATTCAAAAATCATTTCTCTTTTTTAGTTGTGGCCAAGTATTTAGCTATAGTAATAATGTAATTTCACAATCTCAAAGATATCTGTTAGACTTCAAACAATTTGCAGTAGATAGTGTATTGGGCTTTAACATAAAATATATATACAGTGTCTAGTTTATCTAGAAATAACGACGCGACCGACGGCTGGGCTGTGCTGATATCTTTTATATAAAAGAATGAAGATGTTCTAGACTGGATAATAAATGACTAACGAGGGCTAGCTGACGCACAGTCAACGTTATATGACTACTGGCTTTTTGTTCTTAAGATTACTTGAAAATATCTTTAATTAAAAATAAAAAGATGTTTTTGTATGAGTAACGATAATTTATG